CGTATTCCAGGGATGTCTACCTCCCTCCAGCCGATGGACTATGGAGGCTCATGCCACAAGGGGAGAGTTTTGAAGGCGGGCACTGGCTTCGTAATGTGCCCGTTCCACTGGACGAGGTGCCCTACTTTACCCTAGACAAAGCTAAATTACAGTAGCGCAAAAGAATGCCTTTATTTTATGTGAGCTGTCTATACAAATTACGTTGATATCACAGATGACTTGGGATTTCTTTCTTGATTTTTTAAATTTTCCCAATTTAGATGGACAAGTAGATCATAAAAGGACCGTCGACTCACCTCTGCGTATATAGCTCCTTGAGGCGTGCTGACAATCAGAGCTTTAATTATTGACCATTAGTTTTCATGCATTGTACTGTTGAACATGAGCATACAGTTTGAGAGGCGAGGGTGGCTTTGATTTCCCTTTGTCAAGTGCTTTACCTCACTACCTTACCTTATTCTGCTTAACCAACGTAACTGAAATGAGCCACCAAAATACAAACTTCACGCAACGAAACCCAAAACTTCCCAAAATTTATCCACAGTTCTTGAGGATGACGTTATGAGCGTAGATTTTTGGAAGATGAGGAACAAAGTTTTGAACATTTTGCATGTGGCTGTGTACATATTTCATATCCCCCTACACTCCAACCAAAATTCTGATGCAAGCAAAATCTTTCTCAGATATAATAAAAAATTCGGTCGTCTTGATCTTTTTACTAATTATGCTAATGTCGTGTTTTGATAAGTAACAAAGTCCCTTTACGGTTGTGGGTAACTCTTTTCCTTTTATTTCACGGTTTTCATTACAGGCGTATTCCTGAAATTACTAGCAGATTTGCAGCACATGTGTACGACAAAAGCCTGCTTGATTGCTCGAAATTGTGAATACGTTGAATGTGGCGCAGTTTTGATGTCCTGCTGGTCTCCTTACGAACAAAGCAACAAAAAAGTACAAAATAATTATAATCACTCGAAATCACCGACCAATAACATTTTGAAGAAATATCAGCCACTGTTTTAGTACAAACAAGCTGTTTTTTCGTTTTTATTAAGATGAAAACCAAGTATAAAGTAGAATGATGATAATGATGTGCAGACGTCCCTGTCACATTTGGTACATTAATATGGAAATATTCATCAGCATAAAATCCAAAATGATGAAATTGCTCCCATTCGCTTCTAGACAGGAAGTGGAACGTCATCAAAGCACGCAAATAAAGCTGTGCCTCATGTATTCAAGTCATGGGGGAGAACACATTACATGGTTCCTTTAATGATGGACGTGTGATTTCTTTTGTTGACGCACATACTTCATTTTCAGAGTATTCATATATAAGTTCAGTAGTGCGGTAGAAACTAAACAGATTAAATTATTAACAGAGCTGATCGCCCGATAAGCTAGTTGCATCGGCGACATTACGTGCCAAGCACACATCAGCAGAGAAGCAGTCCCGAAGAATACAATGTCAAAAACGGTGGCTGGTTTACCAGAGCAGAACAAACATTTTCTATGCGGTATGCAAATTTCAGCTCAACAAAATCGGGCCCGTGTTTAAAGGGAGCAGCCGGGTGTATAGGATAAGGTTAATATGCCGTTTACAGTTAGGTGGTCGAAAGAATCATCTCTTTGGTTTTCCTATGTAGCAGTCGAGTCTCTTTAATTTTGTTCTTTGATTTTGCTCTCGTATCTTTGTCTTCTTTTTAGCTGGTCAGGCCAGGCCTACTTCATCCCCAAGCACCTTCCTTCTACATGCCTACTTGTATTTTGTGCTGCATTTACACATGCTACACATGCATGGACAAATCCTATGAGACGCCATTTTTGCGAGGCAATCGCATTCACACCACGGATGTATATAAAAAACCTGGACTTGCAACGCCTTTGTATGAAAAAGAAGCCAACCAGCGGCCAATTTACCGAGCCGAATACAAAAGCGTGGGCGGCTTCCTTCTATTGACGTCAGGAAGAACAAAGGCGGGCATTGCCAGGAAAGCTTTGTATTCGGATCGGTAAATGGCCGTGAGTGGATTCAATGACACTATAAACTGATTAAGCGCAGTGCGAGTCCAGATTTTATTATACACGTCCGTGATTTACACACGCCACAACACACTCAGTTGGAGAAAATTGTAACGCTCGCGTACCACTTTGTGCGCACGGGATGGCCCGCAGTGATGGCTTCTTCGTCTTTTCTCCGGATTTGTCTACAAGTAAAATGATTGCGTGATTGAATTTTCGTTGAGCCTTACCATAAATCAGTGGAGTAACTACGGGAGCTGCGTGGGGGCACATGCCCCTCCCCCAAATTCGGGGTGCCCCAGGTGAACCCCACTGAGAAAAAAACAAACATACGAATGAAAGGATATTGAACGAGGCTAACAAAATCTTGCCCCCAAACACCACACCACTGAAAGGTGGCGCCCCCGGTTGAGTTGAGTGCCATGGGGATCTGAAAAAGGGTCAATTTGAAATTAGCAACGTCGATGTGCAATTTCAGGAGGGTACGCCCGTTTATGTACTAATGAGATCACAGGTGTACACACATTTACGTGTAGAATCCTGCTGGTCCGAGTTAACTTGATAAGTCCCTCCAGCAAAGATTGTGTAATAGAATCGAACCTACTTGTAGAATGTTGGGATTTCATTCCACTTGGCTAGATGAAAATATACACAACACCAAAACAAACAAGAAACAAGGCATTGCTTTTTGGTGTACGAGACAGTATTGTTTTTATTTGTAATTAAGACAAAGCAATGGCAGCACACAATTCTGTTGGCCACACTCAAGTTGGCTTATATGTTACGCGGACCTATGGGTCCAACTGACCAATAGCGGGACGCTTGCCTGTCCACTTGTTGCCACTGCTTGCACGAACAGCATGTAAGCTAAGGACTCAATAAGAGCGTTAATTTTTTCAGGTGTACGTCATTTCTTGATGCCTCGTTGACATTTACGGCTCAATTACAGACATTCACACCGACTTTTCCCACTGTCTACAATAGGAGAGGTTAGAAGTATAGAAGCATGCAAGTCTTCCTAGTACTATTTTTTTTCCTCACTTTCTGGATTTTTTTTATATAGCCGCATACAAATTCAACACTACAACTTTCTTCGAGTGAAATACAACTCTGCAGCCAAACCAAATTTGTCATGCAACACTTAATAGTTGAAGAAAATTTTACAGTTGTCTGAAATGATTAATATATTGATGTGCAAGCTAAGTTCGCCGCATTTTTTTCCAATATCTTGACAGAACAAAATAGAAGTTCCATGATTACCTCACAATTACGGTACCTCCCTTAATTCTACAGACAATAACTGTACACTATATTAATAGATAAAACTACACGATTTTCCACTTGGCCTCATTCTTTACTTGCCTCTAATGCACAATCATACAATAACTGAAGTTTCAATAAAAAATAAATGAAAGTTAGATTACAATTATTACAATACTTTGGTAAAATGGTGCATGGTTTCAGATGAAAACTACCAAGGGTCCTGATTCATGATTGGTTGTCAATAAAACATGTTATGAACAGGCCAGCGGACTCCAACAACAAGCCTACCAGAGCCAGGCAACGGTTACAGCATCAACTGACAGCATGAAGTTGCTCTGTTACCAGCAAAAAAGCACAGCACGCACACACTACAAAGCCATTCATTACATCCAGATTCTCGTTTTTGAAAAAAAATGCAGGAATGGGTAAAGCCCAGTACAAAATCTCAAGTCTCAGATGAGCAATATGCAGATACACTCACGGACCAATCAGGATTGATGTTACATATGCTACATGGAGCCTACACAATACCGCATGATACAGTGGCTCTGGTAGGCTATTGCCCGTCAAGCGCATGAGTACTTGAACTGTAGGCATGAACTGAATGCTACATTCTTCAATACATATGAAGTAATCTGTGAAGATTCTAACACGCTTCCTCATCAATGCCTCCCTACATTTTAAAACTTGTGAAATGACTACATCAAAACAAACTCTGAAACCTATAAAAATTGTCAAAATCTAGTGTATAAACCCACTGATGGATTTATGCTTTTGAAAATCTGGAAAAGAATACCATGCCCCATAATGTACAAGAAAAATGTAAATGATTATATGCATATGTTGATGATGAACAGTTGAAATCTGTAGAGATCTGTTCCAAAGAGCAACGATCACGGTGATTGGCCTAAGGCTCAATGTAGCAGACTTCACCAATCAGCATGTTTGACTCATTGCTAACATTTCAGAAAATTCCAGCAAGAATTACACTGTCCTTTAACTGCAAGTCTACAATTTTTTTTCACCCATCAATGTCTTACGTACCTGGTGTTAATAACTATCAGTCAGAAGTAATAAGCAATTCAGTCGTTAAAAAAAATTATTACCACAAAACACGAAGAAACAGCTGTCATGGCTCTATGTGAAACATAAAGACAACAGACACTCTAAGATTATATTTGTTTTTCTTGTCTGCAAAAAGGCAATTTACAAATGCTAATACATCAAATACAAATCTCAGATTTCAAGTTACATGATTCCTTTAACCATTAATGACAATCGTACCAGAAGTCATCAAATTATTAGTCTTAATACATCAAGGGATTCAAGTATGTTTCTGGCGAAGTTTTGTGCCCTAAATTTAAATAATTTTCTTCCATTATGAGGATATCTTTGCATAAGTGCCTCATGAAGATACCAATTGATGTTGTTCCACTAATAAAAGTCCCTTGGAGTTTTGAGGTACATATATCAGAATCATTTAATTTAAGGGACACATTCAGCTATTTCAAAAACGCAACTAACTAATTTTTTTTTAAAGAAACATAGTACAGCGGAGAAAACCACACTTTGCAAGAAAAGAAAAACAAGCTCTTTTTTCCCAATTCAGAAAAGGAAATATTAATATTTATGGACTTGGGAATTTAGGCTGCCTCCCCCACACAAGAATGCAACTTTAGCTTTCACACTGCCTGTTAGAGTCAGAAATAAACTAGGAACTTTTTTTCTGCTGCAAACTGTGCAAAGTTTATCTCATGCAACATCAACAAGGGTGACGACTAGTTTAGCTATGCCAGCCATGACAATAAACCCCTGGCCTTTGGCCAGAGGGTCAGAATGGTGCATCCCCTTCGGTGGTGAAGGCAGGCCTTGGAGAGGGGAGGGGAAGGTCAGCTCGGGGGAGGGATTAAGATAGTGAGGGAGGTGCTTAGTACTCCACCAGTTCCTGCATGACCCTCTCGACTTCGTCCGTCATCCCCTTCAGACGTTCCTTCTCCTGAAGCAGCTCATCTGTCGGGTGGGAGGAGGAGAATGCCACGAGGAGGACAAAAAATTAGGAAGACGTTGCCGCGGGGATGGAGACGAAAGAGAGATGCCACAGGAGACGGGGTGGGGGGGGTGTTGCCAAGATGGAAGATACCACATGTAAGATGAAAGGTTGCCATGGATCACGTTATACACACCAGTACAGACAGACACAGACATCAAGGTCGAGACAGGAAGGGGAGAACAGACAAGAAGATGGATAGTAGTAGAGTGTCATGAAGGAAACCAGAGATAAGTAACAGGAGAGGTGGAAAGACACAGATTTAAAATGGTGTTTGCAGAACAAAGGGAGATAAGTGGATGGGGAAAAGGTGGCACAGACGAGAATGGGGGTTTCAACAGAAATGGGATTGGAGAGAGAAAAATAGAGAATGCAGTAATACACGTTGCATAGGCACAAACCATCAGTGTAAAGACAAACCAAACAAAACAGAAGAACTATAATACAGCCTAAACTATGCAACTTGGAATGAATGTATTATTACCATTATCGTAAGTACAAAAATTAAACTTTAAAATTCTGAATATCTTAATTTTTGTGGAAAACCTACAGTCTATGTTTTGTTTACATAAGCTAGGGAAAGAAAACAAGCAAATACATACTTTACAGATCACTTAGCTACTGGTACACCAAGTAGTGTCATAAGAGATACTCACATGAAGTGCAGGGTAAAAAAAAACAAACCACCACCACCACCACCATTCTTACAACATTGTACACGTTGTGCAATTGCCAACCATTCTGACAGAATGAGGCTGTTGGCAGACGATGCGGTGGCATGCATTTGAGGGCATCGTCTGAGAACAGCTTTTTTCTCTTCGTCAAAATGGTTTTAAAACATGGCACCACGAACATGGAGAAGGTATGGAATAGCCTCCTTGTTTTCCACAATCCACCTGGGCAACAGTTTGTGAACTTTATAAGCACATGCCACATTACCAACACACCTCTGTTCAGAATTCACTTCAAGGTGTGCGCTTCCAGCATCGATGCGACACTGACGTGTCTTTTTAAAAACAATTACTTTATTTGTAAAGAGACTGATGACTGAATTCTTACCAAAAAATGTACTTCTGGACATGGTGGCCAGAAACTTCAGAATGGAAACTACCCTTGGTTGTTTTCAAATGTATGGCACAGATGTAAAAGGAAAATATTCCATATCTTCTTGAGAATGATCTCAGCCATGATGCACTGGATCCTTCGATGGGGCCAGTGAACTTTTACAGTCATGTTTCTACCCTACGTTTCATTACTTAAATTGGTTAGGGTGTTAAAAACTAATGGACAGACAAACACATCACGAGGGAGGGTGGGGAAAAGGGATAACGTGCTCGCAGCTCTAAGTTCCACTAGATCCAGATGCAGTTGCTAAGATGACAGTCCCGGCAATCACTGTAGATGTTTAGGGGGGGGGTTCCTGAAGACGGAGACAGGGTCATCAGAAATCTCCCAGGTCACTCAGAGCCTGGTCATACTCCATCTGCATCCGGAGGAGTTTCTCCTTGGTTGTATTCAAGTCATCTGCAGTTGGAAAGTGATGGGGGGGGGCGGGGATGACATGGGGAAGGGCGAGTGGGTGGGGCAAGAGAGGAAGGGAGGGGAGGTGTACATCGGGTGGGAAGATGAGGAAGGTGAATAGAGAGAACGGAGAGAGGAGGAAGAGGTTGGGGGAACAAGGAATAAGAGAAAACAGCTAGTTCAAAATCAAATTGTCCAAATCATATCAAATTGTGAGAAAAATGTGAAGAATTTACCACACTTCCCTTTTAGCCTTCAAACTGGTGGAAATCGTTCATGCTTGCTGTCTACATGCACAAGAATGGATCTGTACAAATACGTGGGTGGCAAGGCATGGATTGTCTTGGCAATAAATATATAGTCGATCCAAAAAGGGCACTTCTAGCACTTGCAATCTGATTGTTTACCCTCTGGACACCTTTTTGGTTTGTAGTTTATCACTCATGTGAAGTTTGAAATGGGGTGAACTAGGCAGTGAATGGTTTACTAACTGAACTGCAGGGAATGCAACTCGGTGAAGCAGGGCAACACACTGCCCCAGAAAATGCACAAGCCATACCTCTTGTCTGACTGGTCTACAAACATTTGAGCCACAATTGAACAAATGCAGCTCTCTCCCCACGAAACACAGCTGGTTGGAATCGGGTTTGCTTTTTGGGGGGGCGGGGGGTCATTTTGTTTTTCAACATAAAAAAAATGCTAACATTTTGGTTCAAAGTCTGCGGAACTTGTTGACCAGTTATTAAGAGATCATTTCACCAGACGTGTTCCACTGTGGGTGATTTTTACATGTCTCTGCAACACTGCAAATTTCTGGAGACATCTTTTGATCTGTCTGACAACATTTTAAGCCACAAGGTTGCTCATGCGGCAACACAATTTGAGTTGGAGGTGCAGCACAAGAATTATGGCTCTGCTTGGGCAAAATTTGGAGCACGGTCTGTGTAACACACAATGGCCGCACATTTCAGGACTTGCAATCCACTCAGTTTCAGTCCAAAATGGTACCTGAATGGCAACAGCCTATTTTGTTTCAGGACAGGTCTTGACAAAGTCGGTTTGTCGGGGGGGGGAGAGGAAGGATTAATGGCAAATGCCGAGCAACATAGAGCAACAAACCTCCAGAGCAAAGGTCGTGGAAGGGCATGTGCTACAAACATCTGAGCCAAGTGTTTTAAAGACCAGTCAGGCATTGGGCTCATTCAAGGGGTTAGAATCAAGGAAAAGCAGAAAACTATTAGTGTTAGTTGTTAATCAGTGGGAACTCTAGGAAGGACTTCTACCCAACACAAAGCACATGGCTTCACTGGCTGCTAGTGCTGCGAGGCATTAGGCTCATGACTTAAAATTTACCAATGGGTATCTACCAAAACAGAAATCAAAAATCTGACAGAGTGAACATGTAAGAATCTTGGATCTTAAGTTGTGGATACTGCCCCAGTAAATGGAGAGAGAATTCACACACAGAGAAGAAACCAAATGGATGGTTTAGTATAAGATTTAGCAAAACCAACTGATGTGATACTTGACTCATTTTTCCAGTTTTTCAGAAGACTAGCTATAAATCCGAGGATCTTGATGACAACTTGCAATGGAAAGTTACCAGTTGTCAAAAACAAACCAACGAACATCACACCACAGCACAACTATGTAACATATATGTTAGTACACAGTAAGTAGCAAATGAGGTAAGTGGCTCGACGAAAAATAGAAGAGCATCCTGAAAGGTGTCTCTCAAATTAAACAACTGTCAAAAAAGCCCAGATTAACCTCACACCATTTCATAAAATCTCAACTTCAAACTTCTAGGAAAAGGCCATTAATGATTTTTACTGACATTTCCACCATGCCTGACAGCGCCGACGATATACCGGGTATCACAGAAACGAAAAAGCCGTCAGCCAAAATGTAAAACCACTTCCAGAAGTTCAACATTTGCTCTGGTACTGTACATGTCCACGGCAACTTTAGACCCCAACCCAATTTTGGCATGCACTGCAGTGCACTTTTTGCTCCCTCGTGAATACCACCCTAAACTGAAACATCATGTGCCAAGCTTCACTGCCTGTGATGACCCTCCAGTAGCATGTGTCCGAGAGTAGGCCTCTGTACTGATGAAATACATGTACTTTACGTGTGCACTTTTCCATGGAACCAGTGGGGGCCCATGGCCCCCCAGTGGGCTCCATCAAAAGCACACCCGTAAACAGAGACTGGTATCCGTCGGTACAGCGGCCTACTGGAAAGTCACTGGCAGTGATTACATCTCATAACATTTGCAGCTGCTATGACATAGCCATATGAAATAGTGGCCACTAGTTCTGCCAACTGTGGTGACGAGGAGTCCCAGCCAACAAAGTAACACCAAGCGTTCTGCCAACTGTGGTGACGAGGAGTCCCAGCCAACAAAGTAACACCAAGCGTTCTGTCAACTGTGGTGACGAGGAGTCCCAGCCAACAAAGTAACACCAAGCGTTCCCTGCCTCGCCTCCCTTCCCCCAAAAAATGTGACTGCTACACGATGCAAGTTACAACATATGACCATATGATAACACTGCCATAAACGCTCAACCTAGTATGAAAATACTGTTGCTAGACTGTGGTTGATACCAACTGAGAAAGATACCAAGTCATTAAAAATGCTGCGAGCAGCCACCTCAAAATTGGTCAGCAATGTATTTCTGTTACTAAAACAAATTATCATTTTTAGTTACAAAGGGTAGAAAAAAAGTGATTGCTTTCAAGTCCAGCATTAATGTATTTAGTTTGAGTAGAGATGCTTGGTTTAAGATGGATTAATTTTGCAGAAAAATAGAAAACATTCAAGAAATGCACCGACGTCTATACCCGTCCGGCATGGCTCAATGCAATACTGTCAAGTGTGAGTTGGTGAGAAGCATGTTGTAAAGATAACCAGCTATGGTCAATAAGCCTTTTGCGAATTAACTTTGACCCAAATCTGGTACACTGAGTACTTTAAATTCACGTGAATATAACAACTTGAATTCTCCTTACTAAAACCACTGTTGCTATACCTCATAATTTGGGGCAAGCTTTTGCTTAGTTACATAAGAGACCCCTTGCCACAATACACAGTTCTCAATGGATAAGAAGAGCACAAAGGAACCAGTCCATTCCAGAGATGGTGGTCACTATGCAAAAGCTTGCCCCGAATCACGGGGTGTGGCAAGTGTCTTTAGTCTGAGGAATTCAAAGCGTAATGTTTATGCGCAGTCAGATAACTCAGGGCACCAGATTTTATTCAAATTTAACTCGCAAATGGCTTATAGAATTATGTAGCTGGCTGGTAGCCAGTTTAAGCACCAGGCCATACTCGGCATAAAAGCAAAACGAGAACGTGGAATTTACTGTCACATATTTAACATCTACAGGTGCAAGTTTTTGTGGCAGAAATCACCGCACCTGACGTAAGTTCAATTCC